TGGTGGAATACGCACCGTATCAAGCAGTGCTGTGATCATGCAACATCTAGCGGCACGTCTTGAAATGTCATGAGATATCCCATTGTGAAGACGAGCCTTGACGCCCAACGTTATGAAAATCGAACTATGTTATATGAAAAATATTGGTTGAAGTACAGTTCAACCCCGGTATTCCGAACTGATTGGGGGGGGGGTGTTCGGATTCGGAAATGTTCGGTTTATCCGAAAAATTTACCTTACAAATATGTCTATAGGATCTCATATCCGGGCCGATTCGTGTGAGACCATCCGTAGATAATACCCACTAAAACCCTACGGGACCGCCGTCAGGCATTACTTCGTTAGGTGGGGTGGCGGGGCTATTCTAGCCCTCATCCTCTACGCCTTTATTGACTTCCACTACTCGCACGTTCTTCAATTCTGAGGCGTCGCATGAACCGGGAAGCGTACGTCGCAATTGCGGCCCATCTGTCTTCCTTGGTCATCATCTGTGGTATGGTGTTCTCCGGTGTAAGGCGATGTTGCAGGATTTCCTGCAGCTGGTCTCGTTCTGAGAATCGCAGGCAGTTATACACCATGCGCTCCACATCCTCCCCCTGTCCTGGGCAAGCTGGACACGTCGGGTCGTCATCGAGCTTAAATCGGTGCAGGTACGCTCTAAAGCATCCATGCCCCGTCAGCAACTGAGTCACGAAGAAGTCCACATCTCTGTGAACCCTCGACACCCAGTCGCTGATCCGTGGGATACGACGGTGGGTCCACCTGCCGTTCAGCGTTGCGTCCCAGTGGCTTTGCCACTGTCTCATCGTTTCCATCTTCTCTTCTTCCAGCGTAGCGCAGGCTTCTGTTCGTGAGCCGTGTCTTCCCTGGTAGTAGATCCGTCGGCGCTCGTCCGCCAGAATCTCTAGGCGTCATTCCTGCTACTACGCTTATGGCGTCATATGACACATGCCACTCTCAGAGCACTCCGACGGTAGACGGATATGGTCCTCCTGACGTATGCTGCTGTTGCCAGGGTGATGGCCCAAATGGGCGCTGCATTCAGCAGGGTCGAGCTAACCACGGTCGCGAGGAGCTTCCGCCTGCTTTGCCTGGGGCCACCGGTGTTCGGCATAATGCGCGAGAGGGCAGAGATCACACTATCCGCTTTCTGGCTAACGAGTCGAAGATGTTCGTCGAAATGGAGACGCGCGTCGATGCTTACGCCGAGGTACCGCAGGTGTGGCCCGGACTGGATGTCATGTCTCCCCACTCTGAGGGTGATGGTCTCCCGTGTCTTCCTGCTGGTAATCAGCACTGCCTCAGTTTTGTGATCGGCCAGGACCAGCCCGACCAAAGACAGCCACCGGCGAATTATCGCGATGGAGCTGTTGGCTACGAGGGTAAAGTCCTCCAGGTGCTTGTCCACGACGACGAGCGCCGCGTCGTTGGCGAAGCCAATGGTCTCCGCGCCATGTGGTAACTCCAATCTCAGTGCCGCATCGTACATGATGTTCCAAAGTAAGGGACCTAGAACCGACCCCTGTGGAACACCACCCGTCACGTCATGACTCCTCGGACCGTCATCTGTGTAGTACAACAGGACTCGATCATTGAAGTAATCGCTGATCATTGTTCTGATGTACACTGGGACTTCCAGGAGATGAAGGGCATATAGAATTCAGCTCCACCTCGCTGAGTTGAAGGCGTTTTTAATATCCAAGGTCACGACGGCGCAGTACTTCTAAGTGCCCCTACTCCAGCGTGCTCCTGATATGGCCTCTCTAGCAATACTCACCACTTTACCAATTGCCTCCACTCTTGAGCGCGCCTTTCGGAAACCGAACTGATTATCGGAAAGGCCGCTGTTACTTTCGACGAAGGTCTCAAGTCTGCTGCAAACAATTCGCTCCAGGATTTTACCTGCTGTGTCCAATAGGCAAATCGGGCGGTAAGATGACGAGTCGCATGGTGGTTTCTTGCCCTTAGGCAAGAGCACTAGCCGTTGTGGTTTCCAGCAGCGTGGGAAGGAACCTTCCCTCAGACATCTCTCGAGAACGCCCAAGAAGTGGTCTGGGCGAGTTTCGATGGCAACCTTCAGAGCCGCATTTGGTATTCCGTGCGGACCCGGAGCTTTAGTGTCCTGAATTCGGCGGCAAGCATTCCGAAGGTCATCTGGACTGACTGGGGCCACGTCCGTGGGTCGATGTATCGGGGCTGCGTGGTTCGTCTCCGTCTGGATCGGGAAGAGGGTGGCCACGATGTTCTGCAGTAGGTTTGTACAGGCCGTGACATGTTGACCGCGCTATTCAGCTTGGTCATAACGATTTTGTACGGCCTGCCCCAAGGGTCCTCATCAACCTCTCGACACAGCTCACGCCAGCAGAGACGTTTGCTCGCTTTGATGGCCTTTTTCAAGGCGTTGCGTTCATTCCGGTGTTGTTCCAGCAACCTCTCAGAGTCGGGCCGGCTCCTTGCTCTTTGGCACAGACGTCTGCTCTTGATGCATTTCCTGCGCAGTTGAGCAATTTCTTCGTTTCACCAGTAACGGCGGTCGCTTGGTGAGCACCTGTTGCATTGACAACAAGCGCCATGAGTTCCTCTGCCTGCTCTTCCGGTGGTCCTTAAGATACGGTCACATCTTCCATCATGGCGACGAGGGCCTCCGTGACAAGTTTTTTCGTGCTCCACTTGCGACTGGGCTGGTGCAGTGTCAGACGTTTCTCGGGTTTACCCATCTCAATGAGAATAGCATGATGGTCACTATGCGTGTATTGGTCGCTCACAACCCAGGTTAGACCCGAGCGAGCAATGCACTCGCTCACGAATGTCAAATCGACTATGGAGCTATTGCCATTTGGGAGAAGGTTGGAGAGTTCCCGGTATTTGCTAGGACAACGTCCAGTGATGCTAGATGGTCTAGAAGGGCCTCTCCTCTTCTGTTCGTTACCCTGCTGCCCCACGCTGTAGCCCATGCGTTGAAATCGCCAGCAATGATAAGGGATCTCCGTCCTCGTGCATCGGACACCAGACTGTTCAGCAGCGTTTCGAATGCGAGTATTGAGAGACTGGGGGGGGGGGCATATACACTAAATGTATATGCCATCTGCCTTAACCCAGGTAAAGCCTGTCGATGGTACAGTCATGACCCTCCGGACCTGACGCTAACCGTAAGTTCATATCGCGGCTCGACTTGACCTGTCTGAAAACCAAGTAGGGCCCTCCATGTTCGTGTACTGCTCGCAAAGAATCGCCACGTCGATCTTAAGGTCTCTCACCGTTTGTTGCAGCAGGTCCTGTGTTGCCTCACAGTGGTTGAGGTTCAATTGGAGTAACCTCATTTTTTCTGCCTGTTCGTCATCTGGAGTGCCCTTTGATAAACCGGGCACTTCAGGCCGCCAGAAGTGTGGCTGGATTCAAACTTCGCAGAGCATAACATGCAGTGCGGGTCCTTTTCGCAAGTCTTCGCCACATGACCCTCTTCGCCACACTTGCGGCAAAGCTTGGTTCGGTCAGGTCCCTTGCAGGAACTAGCACTTAATTCGAATATGGCTTATCACCCAGTCAATTCGAATTTTCCCGATCGTTACAGCCCTCATCGCCAGAACCGTTGGTAGGCAGACCACCGCCACCTGCGTACCTCTGAAGCTAGGCCGTAGTGCTTTCACCGCTGTCTGATCAAGTTTTGTCTCCAGCTGCGTTTCCACCGCGGTGCAGATCTCCTCCCTGGTTGCGAGCTCATCGAGGGCACGCAGCTCCACAGTGGTTTCCTCCCTCAGTGTGGTAACCACTATTGCGGCATCTCCCAGTTTGTCTGATACGGAGCCCCTCAATTCATCCACCTTCCCGCCAGTCCACCTCTCCAGCTCCAGTAATAGGTCTCCTGATCCGCTTGACACAGGGACCGACATTTTGTAAGGAAGGGTCGCTCTTCATTCGGCGAAGAATATCCGCGTCTGACGATTTCTGCCCGTCCACCTTGACGAGGAGAGCATCTGTGCGGGTAGGTCTAGGACGCGGACGCTTCAGTTTAGCACCCTGCGACGCCTCATTGGACGGTTTTTTCCTCTTTTTCTTCCCCTTTGGAGCAACTTCCCACCGCTTTTCCGGTAGTCGCTCACTTCCGGGTTTCTCGCTGGTCACCTCAGGAGTTTCCGGTGTTCTGCCAGGATCCCTTTGACGCGACACCTCGCCCTCTTCCCTTCTATAGGAGGAAGGGGAAGGCGACTCCTGCATCTGCCGCTTACCCGTCTTATCCACCTTCTGTCGGGCGTCCAGTCCAGGCAAGGTCTACGTCTCCCCTGTATCCGTGGGAGATCGGACGGTAGTGGCTGATCCTAGATCTTCATCCAGGTCAGTTAGCTTCTCAACGAGGCACTTGATGGACGTTGCGTAAGCCTGCATCTCCTTGTTCACATTGTGCTTTGCCTTCGCGTACTCGTATAGTGCATTCGCTTTCTGCACCAACATGCCCCAAAGCTCCTGGCGCTTCCTCGTTATCTCGTTTAATTGTCTGCTGGTCTTTTGTACTCGTAGCATTTAGTGCAACAGTGGCCGAGTCCGCCACCCCTGAGGCATTTCCTCCCATCTTCGCGCACAGCAATGTTTGGCCTCCCCCCGAATCCGTGAGGTCGTCCTCCGCAGAGGGTGGATTGTCCAACTCGGTGATTGGGGTACCACCGGGGATATTATTTCCGTTTCGTTTTGACATTGCATATGCCGTAGATTTTTAAGCGAGGTGTCCTTCCTCGTGTTCTTATTTCGGCCTTGTCCTTGCCCTAGCCTTTGGGAACCCAATCTCTGACTGCAAGGCAGCAGTACCTGTTTGGCCCGCGGGAGGTATTTTATTTCCCTCCTACCCGCTATATCTAGCGAGTTTTCCCCTAACCGTCACCTGGGGACATGCCACGTATGGGTTACAGGTTCCCGTATGTGTGTGTGCGTGTGTATTCTAATGCCCACTTATTTGAAAAATGGTTTTGGTTAATTTGGAGTATTTAATGATGTTTAATTATTCACAGGTGGGAGCGAATGCTGGCATTGTTGGAATGACTAAAGAGCATTTGGGATTGGCCTTGGCTCTGAATGTTCCAGTATTTGTTGTGGTCACCAAAATTGACATGTGTCCTCCAAACGTACTTCAGGATACTTTACGACTCCTTGTACGTATTTTAAAGTCTCCTGGGTGTCGTAAAGTGCCAGTCATGGTAAAAAGCCCTGATGATGTTGTTATAAGTGCAACTAATTTTGTGTCTGAGAGGTGAGTTAATCAATTATCTCGAATTGTATTAATGATCGTCTGGTCTAATTCTAACTCTTTGTTTATCGTCCCAAAAAAATGTAAATCGGTTACTATAAGATAGAATATGGATGTTTTTTATTTAGATTTAGTTTTATTACTAATTCTGCAATTAAGTTTGAGAACTGGGTGACAGAACTTTACTTTTAAATTGTGGGTATTGAGATTACTGTAGTGGTACATTACTAACAGTTTGGCCATTTCTTTTGAAATATAATTAATTAAGAATAACTGGGAACGATACCAAAAACTGTTATTTTACGTGTCAATGAATTTAATATATTTCTTTTCTTATCTCAGAAATCAAAGGTGGAGTTATTAGTTGTATTGCAAATAATTTTTAAATAAAATGTTTTTTTTTTAAATAAAATAAATTTTTTTAAATTATTATTTTTTTATATTTTTAAATAAAATAATTTTTTTAGATTGTGTCCAATATTCCAAGTTTCTAATGTAAATGGCGAAAATTTGGACCTGTTAAAAATGTTTCTGAATCTCTTAACTACAAGAATTGCAACTCATGATGATGAACCAGCTGAATTTCAAATTGATGATACGTACTCTGTGCCTGTAAGTATATTGTAATTTTGTATTTGAGAATCGTGTTTTGCATCTCATTTTTTACAGTCTGGAATAAAGAAAGTTCACAATGAAAATCGCTTATATCCTTGCCACACTGAAATTATTATAATTTATTTTATTACAGGGTGTTGGTACTGTTGTATCAGGAACAACATTGAAGGGAGTAATACGACTAAATGATACGCTACTACTGGGTCCTGACCCTCTGGGTCATTTTATCCCCATTGCAGTGAAGAGTATTCACAGGAAGCGAATGGTTGTTCGAGAAGTTCGAGGAGGTCAGACTGCCTCCTTTGCTCTTAAGAAGGTACAGGCAAAACACGAGTCTATTTGCCCAGTGATATTTACTTTATAACACTTACTTTTCTAATCATGTTTGAAGTAGATGTTACAAATATACTTGTAGAGAATGAATTTATTATTGCATCAAAATTTATGTCATACACTTTTAAGAATTACAATTTTGAAGAATTTATAGTATTCTATCATATACGTTGTGTTGATGCTTAAGTTTCATGCTCTCTCATAATACTGATCGCATTTGTTTATTTACTCACCCAATGCAAATAGTATGTAGTCAACTGTAGGTTTGTCAATTTAAATTTAGAATTAGGTATTAGTGTTTTTCCACAGCGTAAGAAAAATCATCTTCCTCTCATTTTATATCTACTTCGGAGATGAATTTCTGCAATTCATGGACACAATATTATATGCAAGCATTGTATTCCTAACGAAAATTTTAAAGTACCAAATACCTGAGGATTTCTGAACAATCGTAATAACCATGATTGATTGCCAGTAATTGAGCGAGGTTTGTCAGAAAATCTAGTGATTGATTAACTTGGACTCAAATAATTTTGCTACATGATTTCATTATTGCGCTTTGCAACTGTCCATTTTCAGCAATTGCTTGTGGGGCATAAATAAATTTACATCGCATTGGCAGCATAGGTGCTACAGACAAATTCGTTTGACTGTATAGTTATCTAATATAGGTAAATATGGAAGGTAGTTTGTAACAATGTATGGCGTTTCATTTCGTTCCCACTCATCCATTGATTATTATTGTGGTAGTCACGATTTTCCATTACAATGGACCTGCATCTTTTCTGACCCCTTTCTTTCTTTCTTTCTTTCTTTCTTTCTTTCTCGCTCGCTCTCTCTCGCGCTCGCTCGCTCGCTCTTTCTCTCTCTCGCTCGCTCTTTCTCTCTCGCGCTCTCTCTCTCTCTCGCTCTCTCTCTATCTCGCTCGCTCTTTCTCTCTCTCGCTCGCTCTTTCTCTCTCGCGCTCTCTCTCTCTCTCTCGCTCGCTCTCTCGCGCTCGCTCTCTCTCTCTCGCTCGCTCTTTCTCTCTCGCGCTCGCTCTTTCTC